TATCGGACTCACTAGAAGTAAAGGTAAAAATAAAGTTGAAAGACGCGAGCATGGGAATATCTTATCCGACCATCCTTCCATTGCAGGACCGCCGTCGTTTCGCCAAATCTGCGTACAGGTTGCAAGAAAATCACAAACGGCACAGGACTGCAATCGCCATATACGAAGCAAACCCTAACTTAGTCGTCAGTATAGAAGACAACAAGTGGCAAGTCTATAACAAGGAATCGACGAAAAGCTCCGAAGTAACATATGAAGGGCCATGCACATGTGACAGCACGGTAATTACACAATCATAATTACTATTTTTTATTCTGCTGTTTTTATCGATGTGACTGTTATCATATGTACTTAGAAAAACACGCATTGTCTCAACTGCGGAGTATGTGCTTACGCCTGGAGCTGCACTTGTCTGGATAACAGAAGTGGAATCTGCTGTGCTCACAGACATGCTGTGAGGATACTGAACCCGGACAGGCTACCAGTGGAAACATTAGCCACAACATCACAAGTAACAGTATCTTCATCGTCAGAAGTTGACTTGGGTGAACCCATAACCCCAGCACAAGAGCGTCGTGAAGCACGCTACCAGAAATTGGGGGCTATCAGAAGTGTGAGTATTGGCTAGATGAAGGTAAAGTGAGAAAAAAATATAAAAAGGTTTCAAAAAATTTTCTAGGCATATGCTGTGATAGATGGCGCTGCTACAGTACTGGCTAAAGATGACACAGATGAAGCAATGCAACACTTGGAAGAGATCCTCTGCTATATGCAACTCGCAGCAAAAGTTGCACAACCTTCACCATCAAGCTCCTTAGCCGCTCGGCCCGAGATGACTCAAAGTGGAGGTAAACCGCAACTAACCAAAATGCAACTCTACCAGGTGAATCCGCTTTACACTGACAATGCTTGTAGAGTCAAAGTTGCTTGCTTTGAACTAACTGACTCCAAAACTTTTCAGCGTGGGAAGGGAAAGAAGTCGAAGGAACCGACGCAAGACCTTCACGAAGAGCTCAGACAATTGAGAGGATTGGAAGGCGACGCGAATGGAGACCGATTTCATTGACAGTATCACGGTGTTATTGTCCTTTTCAAATGAACTTTATGACTATTTTTGCCTGTTCATCCATCCTTGATGTGAGGTAATTCTGTCAGTTTTTACATAATAAACTATTATTTCGAAGAGAACTCCCTCATCCAATGCGAGTTATGAACCTAGGAAATGTACAAGACATAGGAGTAAGGCAGCGTTCAGACTTGCTACGGTCGCGCCACAGGCAGCGCTACCATGGACCGTGGTCCAGCTTGCCTCTTGCTTCTTTTTTTTCTAGAATTCAATCCCTTCTCTTCATTTTTCTCTTCATTGTGGTCCCTGAGCCCCTCTTCTTTTCATGGAAGGGTGTCTAGGTGGGGAGGGCTATTGAGGGCGATGATCACGAATATGATATCGTGATCACGAGTATTATATTGGTTTGTGTCACTGGCGCCATCTGGCGCCAGATGGCGCCAGTGACACAAACCAATATAATACTCGTGATCACGACCCTCGGCAACCCCCCACACCCCATCCCCCTCCCTGAAAAGGAAGAGGGGCTCAGGAACACATAAAATGAGAAATGAAGGGAAAGGGATTGAATTCAGAAAAAAAACAAAAATGGAAGCTGGACTTCGGTACAGTAGCGCTACAGCTGTAGCGCGGCGTAGCGCTAAAAGTCTGAACGCTGCCTAAAGAAGTTTTGCTCAACACCTCAGGTCATCTCGTGGTTTTCCGAAGGGTTCGCGTAACAGCATTCACCGCGAATATCTCGGAAGCCATGACAGAAACCTGATGATTCTCTACGCCACAAAGCAATGGTAATGTGAAGGGGATATATAAAGTGCATGCAAGACAGGTTCAAGAAAGGGTAATGTAGAATGGGATCGAAAATGAAAGCACGGAGAAAATGGCGACGCATTCACAAATATTAGAATTCAGGAAATGTGAAAACTCACCTATGAGATCGCCGTTCTGATGGAACAAGCTTACCCACTAATAAGAGAAAAAGGTTTATCCATTCAGTACATAGTTTATTCGTTCGTTCGTATATAATAGACCAGGAGAGATTACGGTGTTCAGAGTGTTGTGCACATGCACACAGCGCGTTTGAATTCAAAGTTGCGCGCGCGTGGGACCAGCCGCTGGCGACAAATAAGTGCGTTCACGTGTTGGACTAGTGCCCGCCCTTCGAACATAGTGTCTGGCTACCATTGCTTTCATGTGTATGTCGTTGATCTAATCTATAGAGTTTTGCGCTGTGCAGTTCAATCGTTATAATTCATTTAATCTCAATTCACAACGACAGAAATCAACCAATATCACAAAACGTGAAGAATATGGCAGATAAGCGTTGCAGATATTGAGTAGTCAGCCGCTTGTGACGTAGTTGATAAGTGGAACTTCTTATCAACCATGCGGCTTTCGACTCCATAAGCAACACAATAGAAATATATCAAAAAGGGATATTCTAAACCATCAATAATCAAATCGAACGTTCACAGAAGGAACCAACGTCAGCGATGAGAAGGGGTTAAGTACAGATGACGAAAAGCTAACGGAATGCTAACAGAGGCAACATCAATCGACAAAGACGTAGGCGATTTCACACTTCTGCGATAAGACGTCATCGACATCGAAAATGTAAAACATGGATATCAGCTATAAATACATGCAAGACAATCAGTAGAAGTGGCTCGCGCAGAGGCAAATTTATACTTTCCACAGCCGCCTTAGCACAAGATTGTGAAAATGGTTATCGATTATGTATTCACAGAACCAATGCCCATCATAAGATACACGCAGTAATGAGAAGTTCAGTACGGTGAAGGAAGCCTCGCACCTCGCACGCGTCTTCGCTCTCACGCGAGCTTGCTTTTGAACACGAGAGATACGATTGTTCAACATAGAGGTGGGAGCTCACAGAACGAAGGACACGTGGAATAGAATGACCTTCGCCCATACTTTGCGAATTTGAATACTGCATAACGATTTGAGTTTCAATTCAATAAGGACAGTTCAGCGGCATAGAGGAACATCTCTAACAGCAAAATAAAGACAAAAGGAAACCGGCCACATACTGGACTGAGAAGAAAGACCTCAAGCAACGCACGAACAAAATGTTAGAAGTCTTTTTGCCACTACTGAATTCGTAGTTGTCCATACAAGCACTAATATGTTGCTAGAGAAGAGAATAACGTAATGAGGGAAGGCCCACTTATGAAGCACTATCGTGAGAGTTTACGCGATTAGGTCGGCAAAAGGTTTAAGGCTGCTTCAGTACTTCGGAACACGGCCTTTGTGTTATTTTGGCGTTTTTAGCGAAGAGGAAAGTAAGGACATCGAGCTGGCGTTTCGGGAGAAATAGCATTCTGAGATAATCGCGTTTTCGTGGCACCATTCGACACCTATTTTACCCTTTTCTCTGAGAACTCCGATTCGCTTGAAAGATTATTCTTCCGAAATGCAGGATCGTGAAGCATGAACGTAGCCTTATACTTCAGGTATTGATAGGGATTCGAGGCGTTCCTTTCTCGAAAGGAGCAGAAGTGGGTGCCCAGAGTTCAAACTCCTTATTCCACACCACTTTCACGCTATTCAGAAAGAGACCTATCATACATATATCCATTATTATGAAGGAAGCCTTTGTGAGCTCTATTACTTCTGCATGCAGCCGAACACCAACGGCACTCTATCACATCTTGCAAAAAAAATCGAATATGAAGCGTTTTGGTGTGAACACTGAAATGATGTGTGAAAGGAACTATTCCCGGCTTTCATCCGTTAGAACACCTTACTCAACCCAGTGATAATGGGTGCCTACAAAGGTTGTATCTGGGAACAAACAAGCCATATGTATTCGCATGCAGCAATGAAAGAAAGCTTGAAATTCTGAAAAGTTATCACAAAAGCCAATGAACCGTCGAGCGCTCAGAACTCGTAGAGCTTCGCCATTTCGTTGAGTGTATTGGCCATTTTCTGGTAGAAGTCTGCTTGCCGCTTCAAGTACGTGTGCATCGTTACCCTCACGTCTTCTATCTGGAAAAGTAAGGCTTGGAACAGAAGAGGAAGAGCATTACCAGAGGGTAGACCAGGACATTGTCATGTCAACCCTCCTTTATTTTCTGTTCTATATTCTGTTCGCTCGAAAATTCTGAGCATTCGGAGAAGCATTTCGCAAAGGTAAGGAAAACAGAAGATCGCCAGTGGGGGTCCTCGCCGTAGACCTGTCACAGCACTTGACGGCAGAAAAGCCGATTGTTTCTTGGTGTGCCGTTACTCGGCAATGTAATGGGTACTGCTTTTGTGCAGCAGCGAAACCACAGTAGGCGTCCAATCAAGGCGTTGACTGTAAATTCGGGAAGAGAACACATCTACTGGATTAATGTATACGTTAGATACTGATTTTATTCCTACTACCTTCCACTTCCCACATTGTCGCGGTCACGAGCCCACCGTTAGCCTTGTGGCCAGACTATGATACCTCCTCATTCCCACAAAAGCGTTTCCGGGGGGGGGGTGTTCCTGTTGGAAATTTTAATTTCTCAGCGGGGACCATTTGAAGTGGCCAATACCACCTGCAGCGAATAAAAAGAGAAACTTATTAGCCGTGTCCACCTTCAAACTCCTCGCATACTCAACGAAGGGTAGGAAATGTCAGTTCGTCGCGCTGGTGGGAGTGGCCAAGGATGCCGTTTGTGGAGCATCTTATTCGAACCGACAGTCGTACCGAAAACTGCGCCGAAGGCGCGCAGAAATTCCGCTTGGCGTACTTGATCAGATACTGCAGTTTTCTCTAATAAACAAGTTCTTCAAGATTTTTTGAAGCTGTTAGAAAGGATCGCGGGTATAATGTTTTGTCCCTGTTTCCTCGCCGTTGCAACGCGCAGAAAGTTTCAGAGGAACCGAGCTCATCGATGGAGGGGGTGAGAGTACTCCAGCAGTGGCGGTCGACGAGTCGCCGTGCAGCTTTTTCCTCAGCTTTGTGAAGGGGCTATTGGGCTATTCTGAGGGGTCGGTTGACCAAAGGAAGTTTTGTACGAATCTTTTATGAAGTAAAAATGGCTCCTTGCCTTCTCTGTATTGAGATGGTTCATCTCAGCCAATACGGCATAGCTCGTTGAATCAACACGTCGCTTTATTCGTTCAGCATCCGCATGTGACAGTTTGGTTTCGTTCTCCCTATATTTTTGAATTGCTTGCTGAAATTAACGTGAATTATGTTTCCCTAATAAATCACCCTATCTAGGGGTAACTGGGTACCTTTCCTAAATCTGAGATGGATCCACACCTCTGATTTCGTGTCATAGTTATACGCCAATAAGGAATCAGGGAATTCCATAAAGTCCCTCTTTCAAGGACGAATCCCACGATAATTGGCTGGGCGGAGAAATGGGCGAAGATTGTTAACCATTGCACCTTATTCATTGAGACTTTCCTCTTTTCTTATATAATTGTTGGAGGGGCTCCAACAAAGACATGGCAGATGAAGAAATGTGCCAGTGAAGATGACACAGCGGTAGCATATCTCCGCCCATCCGATTTTCGCGAAATATTCTATCAACATCTATTCTAAGAAGTGCGTAAACTGGGGTAAAATGTAGGCTTTTAAATCACCTTATGTACATGCAAAATATCGGGAGCAGTCTGGATGGTGCCTTTGAAGGAGTATAGGCTCTCGACCACCGGTTCCATATCATTACGCGAATGCGTCTCAAAGCCTTCACCAATCTGATGGTACTGATGAGCTGTCTGTTTCAATGCATCCACCATTCGATTACTTCCTGAAATTGATCGACAATGACCGGTGGCCAATCGCAAATCAACAGCGCTACCATTGTGTTTCTGAGCACAGATGGGCAGGGCTGTCGGGGGCGGGGCTCAGGGCGGACAAACGGGGCTTCGGGAGAAGCTTTTCATGAACGGCCACTTTGCGAAAGGTTACGTCGCTTTGTGGAAGGTAGAAATGTCTCACTGCAAGGAATTATTGATGATTATTGGCGCACGGCTCGACCAAAATCCCCAACCACTGATGTGCCCTTCTTATCCCTAACAACGTGGCGCATTCCAAAAGAGTTAGTTCCCAAAAAATAGTGGTGCTCTTCGACTTGGAGAGGGCGTTTTGCATTTTCGCTCGCTTATTTTGTTCGTTCATGTCACCCGTCAGGTCTCACTTTGGTCAGACCTGGAAACTTTTGTGAATCCGAGAAATTGTTCAAGCGAACCAGAAATTGCAGGCCATCACAATATGTCCTGTAACTCATATGAGATCCCCCCCCCCCCAGCCGAACTGTGTGAAAGTAGTTTGTGAACAGTAACTAGCTGTCAGATTCTTACGAGAGAACAATAGAGATACAAACATAAAAACACAAAAGGCGTGATCTCTGCCGCCTCACTTTACCGCAAACCGCGGTGTCGATTGTGCAGGATAAGATATTCACCCGCCACCATTGTTCGCGACGTTCCAGTTCGCCGTTATTACAGCTTTTACCCGTGCGATAAGGATAACACAAGTGAGCTAGCAATTCGTGCCCACTGAGGAGGATTCGCGCAGCAATCCCCGCGTGCCGATTGTCAGGTCTAATTTACTCCGCGTCATGCTCGGGGCGGGGGCAACTTTGCATTATCCTCGACGTGTGGCCGCCCATCAAGTATAGATGTGTAAAATTCGTGTTGGACTTTACACGTGAACCAGTTTGAGTCTTGGCACGAACCAACTTGCCAACCTCTGCCAACTCTCTTAAAACAAAGGAGGAGACGACGAGATGCGGCGAACGTCTTAAATGCCCCCCCCAAACCGAATTGCGCCCATACTTCTTATGGTGTAACGCTTTTCTTTTTTTTCGTGACAAAAGTATTATACAGGTGCTTTCAAAAGGCACACACCTGGATGATCATCGGTGTTGAACGATTGTGCCAACGTGACGAACGCCAATGCCATCTTTTGCCAATTGGCTTTAACGGCTGAAAGTCATAAATTACAAAAAGTGCTGAGCAGGCCAATCCGCAAACCCAAAAACGAAGCTTGGAAAAATTCCATGAAACTCACGTCCGACGAAAAGTTTCTGGGAAAACATTTAATCGTTCCTGCATTACTCTCATCGCGTCTTCGGTCGATTTTACGCTTCGTTGGAACTTATCCACTTGCCGTTCTCTACAATCCATTCGAATATATCGATCACACTTCGAGGGCCCCGGGGTATCACGGTAAATCTGCAAAATGAAATTAGAGGTGAAAACCACAAAAAGCCAATATCATGTGGAAGATTGTGGCGACCGTCAACACCCAATTGATAGAAATACCACACCAACGTACTCATCCTGAAAGCCTCAGTTACAAAAATGGTTTTGCTGAAATAATCCATGATGATAGTATGGGCGGAGACGTGGGCGAAGACGGAGACTGTAGGTCTTCCTGACACTGGTGCGCCTCTTATCTCAATTCCAGTGGCGTGCTAATAACGGAGGCAAAATGTAATGCAGTCCAGCTTGTAAGGGGTTTTAGTGCTGGTTCCCATCGATCCTTGGCGCTGCCTCCTGTGAGGGCCAGTAATCCTGTGGCTGGCCATAGCAAATTTGTGTACAGTCCGCCCCCGATGTAAATTACGAGTAATTTATAAAAAACAATCATAAAGCAGTGATGTAAGCTGTATTGCCCTCCTCAGAGCCGAGCAGCAGCCGCGCGAAGATGTTTTCTGCACCCGGTCAGTACGAACCAAGATGGGCATCCCTTCAAAGCGTTGTGCTGATATGAATATTGGTTGACTCGTTCACAATATTCGCGAAAGGCGCGCATACACATTAGCCTTTCGATGGGTCGAAAAAGGTTTCCTGACAATGAGGGCTTCAATAGAAAACCCTACTTAGCCACTCTCTTGCGCGAACTCAAGTAAACAACGCCACGGTTACTGATGTGAAATTAAACCAGACGCTGGAAATATAAAAGCTAGAAGGAAAATTCCATGGTCCCAAGGGACTCACCTTTTCCGACTTCCTTTTACCATTCTTCCATTCCTTTTCGTCTGTGCATGTGATAAAATGGAGCCACACCTGTAATCAGATCTTTTACCCGTTGTTCGAACCAGAACTACGAAAAAAGGATTCGTTGCTGGGAGCGAAATAAGAGTTAGCGCTGGAACGTGAAGTGGTTGCTCCGAAGCGCCACTCAGGCAATCTCTGGGGTTCCCCAGACAGAGGAACGATACTTGGTTGCTAAGGATGGGAGGTCGTATCTGCCCTTAAAGCTAAATTTTTTTTCAGAGTTGTGAGAACTTTTTTCCGGCTCATTCTCGAATTTTCTCTTGTTTTTTTCTGTCCTGCTTTCATTGCTCTGGCATATAGGCCACAGGAAGATGGAACATGTGTGCAGAAGCAGGCGCGAACCAAGAACGGGAATTTCCCTAAGGTCTTGCGTTTATTACTTTTGCGGCAGCGTAGCGTAGCGTAGCGCAGCGTAGCGTAGCGCTTCCAGCGTACGCCAGCGGCAGTGCCGAAGAGAGGATGCATATCGATCTAGCTTCACCAGCGTCACCAGCGGCACGCTGGCGTACGCTAGCGTGCGCTAGCGCCACGCTAGCGTACGCCAGCGGCACGCTAGCGCACGCTGGCGTAGCGAGGGCACGGGAAGCATAGCTATCGATCTAGCTTCACCAGCGTTTCTCGAGCGTTTCTCCAGCGGCACCAGCGTTTTGCTAGCGCTTGCAGCGGCAGGGAGTAGAGACCATGTGGCCGGCCAAGAGCGCTCGGAATCGAGGTAATTGTAGAGACTTTATGGTGGCCGCGTCGAAGACGCATAGAAGATGTGCATTGTAGAGACTATGGGGCCGTCAGGGCGCAGAAGCGATGTGCATTGTAGAGACTATGGGGCCGTCGAAGACGCAGAAGCGATGTGCATTGTAGAGACTATGTGGCCGTCGGAGACGCAGAAGCGATGTGCATTGTAGAGACTAAGGGCGAGTGAGAGACGCGCAATCGATGTGTTTTGTACCCTCAGCTCTCCCATAGTCTCTACTCCCCTGCCGCTGCAAACGCTAGCAAAACGCTGGTGAAACGCTGGAGAAACGCTGGCGTACGCTAGCGTGCCGCTGGTGAAGCTAGATCGATATGCATCCTCTCTTCGGCACTGCCGCTGGCGTACGCTGGAAGCGCTACGCTACGCTGCGCTACGCTACGCTACGCTGCCGCAAAGTATAAACGCAGCCTAAAGCAGCCACATAGCTCACCGAAGTCTCTATTCCAAACGGTTAGGAGGTATTTTTGATACAAGGGTCGCGAATAATGATTTTCAAAATGTGAGTGATGTAAATTGTTTATCGGTCTCTGCGTAAGCTCAGAGCTCAAAGAAACCGCTAAAAGCCCACTCATAACGCCCTATTAACAGCGCTTGGTGAGCTAGAATTAGGTAGACGAGAAAGTTCCAGGATGAATCACTGGCAGTTTGAGGGCGTACGAAAAAGTGGAAAGTGGGTGAGTTTGCACAAGGGCTAACGTTAGAGACGACCAACTCTTCAGGAACGAAGTTTGCCTCCGAGGAAAACTGCTCCGAGCAAGCTTTGGAGCCCTTACTGAGAGTTTTCGAACTTCTGAATTGGCACAACCTCTGCAGTTACCGTTCCTATGCTCAGCTCCACTGGGGACACGGTCATTCACTTAGTCGTGGAATATGATTAGACAGCTTTTCTGTCGCTGGTGAATACCACACCTTCTTCCTTCCTCTCCAAACTTTCTCTTCTTCTTCTCTGTCAGCACCGCTTCCCCACTCTTAATAGCTTCTTCAATCATCTTCAATCTTCCCAACCTTCCACCACTTGCTTTTTTCTAGGAGAGTTTTTTTCCTCCCCAACTGGTTTATACCTCCAGCGACCAAAGCACGCCCCGCCCCTATGCAGGGGACTCTCCAGCGTACAGCGTGACTTCAATGTGATACCAAGGATGTGATACGTATCGAAATGAAGTACCTCGCTTTGGCTCAGCACTGGATGACGGCAGATCTTATTCACCCACAATTGTAGAATATGTTTTCGGTGGTCGATGAGATCGTCCTCATAGCGTCCTGAAATCACGCGATGATTCGCAACAGTTAGTCTTACTCGCCTTTTTATCGTGCAAAAAAGGAAGCAAGGGTTTTGAAAAGGATATCACAGAAAAATATGTAAAAGTCGATACTCTTTTAATCAGGAGTTGTTATGGGCGGAGTCATTTCCATTGCTCGTTCCTCATTGGCGAGCTCCTCCTTTTCAACATTTTTGAAGGGAGAACCCACCAAAGAGAAGGGCGTTGTGAATCCATTATGATCAGCGCGGATCGAAACAATCTCACGCACCGTTGTACCACTTCATTTGTAATGTATTCAATCCAACCGACCTGATACTTGCTTCTCGGGCAAAGGCGTATCAATTCATGATGTATTTGCTCGAGAGTTGATAATGGAACAATCAAATGCTTTAAACGACGAGAGACCTGAAGACATTTATTGTAACTAAAGCTCACGCAGAAAACAAGCGTGTTCAGTGCTGTGTTACGACTCAATGAAAGCGCTTTTCACTATATTTCAAATTCCCAAAGAATTCCCATATTCCCATAGATTACTTTCCAAAATCATTCCTTTTCCCAATGATATGCAATATTTCAATTGAGACAACCGCCATCTTGTTCCTTGTTGGACAGAGACTTGACCACATTTGGGCCAAATTGAAAATATCTCTCCAAAAGCATAGCCACCACGACGTTTAGTTGAAATACGCAGCCACGCCTACCTCATCTCAGGGATTTCGAGTGTAGGCCTTGTAGGTTTTGTGGTGTTTGTAAGCTGTGCAGATGTTTCTCGGTACTTTACCAGCGACGTGAACGGAAGTGCTGTTGTGAGTTCAACAAGTTCGTTTTTGGAGATGTGAAGTTCGTGCTTTTCGGCGCAGAAGGTCAATATCAACTCCAGTTCACTTCATTTTAGCTCCAGTTTAAAGGATCTGGAGCTAAAATGGCCGCCTTTCAGACCTGCTACCAGGTCCCCATACACCAGGTTCAACAACTTCATGATGATATTTCCTTTACGTAATCGTAACTAAGGAGGCCTTATCACTTCTGGACTACGTTGGTACTACGTGACTATTTGAATTTGAAAAAAAAACTGATAAGCATTACCTGTATCCGACTAAGTGTTGAGGTAAGTGAATAGGCAATAAAACTCTTCAATCCCTTCAGTTTTGTCTCCTTTTTCGGTTTATCCACTGTACATGTGTAGTATTGCTGTATGGGACGCCATTGTACCAATGGACCACTGATCTGAACGAAACTTACTGTACAATCTCCAAAAAGCCCATAAAACATCCGCTGTCTCTTACAAAAAATAGTCAGAGCAGAAGACTGACCTTTCCTCTGCGTAGTCAGTTTTCATAAATTGCGGACAGAATGCTAAAAAGCAGCAGCCATTATACCAACAAAACTTACAATAACTTCATGCTTCTCGCCAGGTTGTCCATTCATTCGCGATTCGCCAAGAATGTACGCTTCCATTCCGGATTTGACGAAGTTAGAGAATCTGCAATTTTTGAAATATGAGAAGTGGTTGAAGGCACAGTCCACGGTGATCTTATGGGCGGAGACAGCGAAGTGTGTCAGTGTCAGTGCGACTTCTCATCTGACGCACCCTCATCTATGGAGTACAGGAGTTAAATGCGTCATGGTTGACCATCTCCGCTCATGATACCAAAGTGAACTCTGTCATTAAGCTGGAACCATGGAATGGTTTTACTCCGTATCTTCTCCGCGAAAGAGAGAGGGGAATGGGAAAGAGAGCGCTAGGGGATCGAGAAGATTTTCAGTCGAGTGAAGCTTTTGACGGGGGTTCTTTCGAGCGGGGTGGTTCAGCTTTGAAAAGGAGTTGCATTCAAGAGGGGAAAGTTTTACGCACTGTCCGCTTATCTCTGTAACGCATTTCATGCTAGTTAAATGGATCAGAAGTAGCACCGAACTGGCCAAAAAGGTCCCAGTGATATCTCT